AACCTCCATCATCAAAAGAAAAAAAGAGAAACATCAGCAGACCTTGATCTCACCAGGCAAGCTCTGAAACTGAACACAATCTGTGCTAATTAGTGTACAGAGAGAGAAAAAGGGAGGTCCTGGATGCCTAACTCCAGCTCAGAGATCAGGGAGGGGAGAGGTTTCGTTATCACGGAAAGAGTTCGTCATCCCCACTGCTTTGCATGCCGTGATGGGTTAGGTGCATTTGCTCCCTGCCTGCGGACTTTTCCGCTTTATGTTCTGTGCTCTGTCTCATGGCACTGATGTCTAGCCCTCTTACCCAGGAGCACCGGCGCTTGGTGAGGCTGTCAGAGAAGTAACACGCCCTGCCCTGGGACTTGCACCATCCTCTCTGCGCTGTGTCTGTGTGTCCTTCCACAGTTCTGTCCCTTGGGCTTGGTGTAAAACTGTGGAGGATCCCCTAGAAAGGCCAGTTCTGGCTGTTCTTGGGATGGAGGTCACTGTGCTGGGTGATTTTGTGAACCAGCACTCTTGTCTCTGCACTAGTCGTGCAGCCCCTGGTACAGAAAAGATTAAGCTGCCTGCTTCACCCAAACTCAGCAGGATACCTGCCTGTGGGATTTATTGTTAACTGGGATCAAGGGGTGGCCAAGGGAAGGGATGTCCCTTGGTTCAGAGATCCTAGCTCTCCCCATGTGGGAGTGTTTGGATGCAGTCTGGCATTGCCCCTAACCTCCTGACTGGCCTGCTCTTGGGGAGTCCCACTCCACAGCCCCTCTGCACACCCCCACTGCATGGAAAGCTGCAGCTGTGGCTATGGGGACAACCAGGGGAGGCTAACTTGGTGTCATCTTCTGCCTCAGGGAGCTAACCTGGCTTGCCTGATGTGGAAAAACCACAGCAGGAGAGAGGACAGAAGTATCCCCTCTGGCAGCAGCAGGGTCTTGGGTTAGCTTAAATCAGGGAGCGTGTCTGGTCTTAATAGCACTTTCCTCCGACTGTGCCAGCCATCTCCTTTCCCCGACTGCACAGAGGGATGCAGAGACAGATGTCTCTGTCAGAGCGGAGCAGGCTCGGCTTGCTGGAAATGAATGGGAATTTGATTATGCTGCTCTGCAGAGCCAGGCTAACACGATTAAAAGGCCAGCAGGCAGGACTCAGAGGAAGGAGATCCCCTTTCTGCCCCTTTCTCCCTGCAGAAGGAGAAGGCTCTCCTTTCCTTCCTCCCCAACCCCTGCCCTGCCCAGGCTGTTCTGAGACTTCACAAATACCCAGAGTCCAGGCAGATATGATGGCAGACAGAAGAGAAGACAGCAGAGAGTTGCAACCAGCTTCCCCTAGGCCCCTCAGTGCTCCTACCTCCCTCTCTCCAGTAGCCCCTGCCAGCTCTCCCCTCTGTCCTGCCTGCCCTGTGACCAAGCTCCCTTGCTATTTACATTACAAAGTAGCCCCCTCTGCTCTGCTCTCCGGGTTATATTTAGCTCCCTGGCACAGAACAGCCTGTCAGATGCGTTAGCTGTGTCCTATCTGCCAGCCTGAGGACTGCGCCGAGCAGCCGAGGTGCCCCACATCTCCCTAGTAGGGATGGGAGCTGGCAAGTTGATACCCCTCTTTGCTCTTCAGAGGCTGACGCTAGGCTGGGGGGCACAGAGGGACACAGGACCCCCTCTTCCTCCTGCCAGAGATGCCCAGCCCACGCCATGAGGAGCCCTGTGTGGCGTGGGCTGGTCCAGGTTCTACCTCTGGAGGTGCCTGAGAGCAGAAGGGCACTTGTCTGACACCCTGCACATCTATGGGGCGGGAGACGTGCAGCGTAGCCTGTGGGGAGCCAATGCAGGAGCTTTTGTGCGCTTGTGGTTTCCTTTCTGGGTAAACACCCCTCTGATCTTGGTTGCTGGGAGCAGTGGCAGTGACAAAGGATACTGCTGCAAGCATCACCCTGAAAGCAGCTGAGAAAGTGAGGAAATTGAGAGGGAGCTCAGAACTGCTTAGGAGAGGTTGGAGGGTGCTGCTGCGGCCCACCAGCACCTGTCCCGGGCCTCCCTGGACCCACGTCACAGGGTTTTCCCTACAGCAAAGTTCTTCCAGCCTCTAACTTGCCTTATTGCCACCAAAGCTGCCTCACTCTCAAGCTAGAGATGATCCTGCCCCACCACAAAACCTTGGTGGAGACACTCAAGGGAAGGAGGAGCTGACTTTGGACTCCCATTGGCAGAAGTTACTCTCCAAGTGGTGAGGCACAAAGCCCTGGTGCTTGCTCCGGGTTTGCTGCAGTGACAGAGGGCATTGGGTCCTTCTGGCATTGCAGAGGCACCTCCCTACTGGGAAAATTGTCCCAGAATGTGCAAATCTGGTGCACAAGCCAGCATCATTAATGTTTGGCACGAAACTGCTACTCAAAGCCCTAAATATAACCTGAGTGCTGAGCTCTCTTCTACCCGCCTAAGGCGCCTCCATACACCGTGGCAGCTATTTATGGAAGGAACTTTATATCCATGGGATTAATATAATTTCTGCTCATTTCAAAACCTTTATATAGCAGCTTATGCTGCCTGCCCCTTGTGATGACTAATGGGTCCCAGCAGGAGCAGGCAGGTTGGCAGCAAGAAGACTGAGGCCTCCAACCTTCTCTTAACATTGAGGACACCTGTAATGCCCGCGGCCCACAGAGGAGCTCCTCCAAAGTCTGTACCAGGGTTCAGTAAGTGTCTCCAGATCCAGAGAGCACAGCAAAGGGATTTGTGTCAGCCCCCCAAAGCTTCTCATGCTGCAGGAGGGGCACCTGATGGAAAGTTGGCCAGACCCAAACCTCCATGGGTTTCACAGGACAGCACAAGCAGATCTTCCACCCCAGACTCTTCCTCTCCCATTTCTCCTTCCCTTCGCTTGGCTGCCCAAAACGCAGGGTGGAGGAAGCAACTCATCCCAAGTACCGTTTCCTCCTTTGCTGATGGCCTGCAGATAGCTGCAGCATTCCCTCCAACCCCACAGAATCCTCTCTTCTGCAAAGCCTGCATTGAATGGAGCAAAGTCTCTTTGCAAAGAGATCCCTAGTGAGGATTGAGTAGAACAGAGGTGCTTTGTGTAAGGGCAGCACAGGCTGGAGCATGTCAACAGAGCCACCTGCTTTGGGTGGCTGGGGTGGCATGGGTAGGATGTAAACAATCCCCAGCAACCTTAGACAATTCTGGAGCATATTCAGGCTGATCAAATTAGGTTGCAGTATGGTCCCTTTCCTCCCCTGGAGGGGAGGCTGGAAAATTGCAGCTGGCTAATCCATTCGCAAAACTGTGCACATCTGGAGGAAGACAGCTAAGAGAAGAAAAGCCTGCTCTGCCCTCTCTTCTTGGCACAGTGATTTCTCATCCTCGGTGGCATCAGGGCAGAGCCTCAGTGAGCAGCTCTAAGTACAGAATGAGGACCAGGAGAGCTGCATGTTGCCTCAGCTCATGGCAAGGATCGGGGAGGCAGGGCACCTCAAGGAGATCTCTGCCACCCCAGCTCCTGCTTGTCACCCACAGCAGGAATAACAAGTGCTGGAGATGAGTCAGCTCAGGGGCCCCTCCTGCTCTGCAGGCACTAATACAGTTTCCTATTAGTTCTCATTACTGCAGTATTAGAGAGCAATTTCCTCATAGCTTGCACCGCAGCCCTTGCAAAGGAGAAAAAGGGCTGCTGTACACATGGGAGTGCGGATGGGGGTGACCGACAGCTCCTGCCCAAAATCTGCCTCCCCAGAGGAACTCTGCACCCCAGGGTCCCCAAGTCCCAGACTAGAGGCAGGAGAGCCCATCCGGCCTCCATCTGCCATGGCAGTGAGCATGGCACCAAGATCCTCCATGTCAGTCTTCCACCTGCTTGTAAACTACGTGGCACTTGCTAAGCATGACATGGTGACATGGAGCTCAGAAGGACACAGAGACATCCCTCGGCCAAGCCAGCTCAGGAGAACCGTAAGGAGGCAGCTCCTGCCTTCTCCGCACTACTCAGTCCCAGACCCTCACAGTAACCCAGGGTCAGTCCTGCAAGTGCTCACATTTACTCTGGGCAGATACAGGATCAAACGATTTCTCCTCAATTACACCTAAAAGCCATTCTGCTAAGATTGGGGGTAGTAAATAGTAGAAGGGCTCAAACGCCCTTCTAGTGAAAAAAAGGGGAGGGTGGGACCCTGGGCCTTTCTCACTGTGACAGAAAGAGTAGAGCTGAGGTCCTGGAGATGCTGACCAAGCAGGATTATGACATTATGGTTGGAATTGGGAATAGGAGCTCACCTGAGTGTCACCAGACAGTGGCTCCCACAAGCTGTAAGCTCTCTGAGAGCTATCAAAACCACTCTTTGCCTTCACCAGCTTTACTTGGCTATAGCAGAGATGGGTAAGCAGAGCAGTCCTGGCAGAAGAGTCACACCAAAAAGCAGGACAGATCTCCTCTTGCTGCAAGGTGCCCTCAAAAAACACGTTTATAGCCTAAGCCCTAATCTCAGGCCCTTCATCTTTGTATCACTGCTCAATTTCCCCAGGTGGGATCAAGGTTTCTGGACCTGGAAATCAAGTAAGGGGACATTTGCCTTGGGGAAGAGGAGGAAAAGGAGAACAGGTGCTATGAGAAGTCCCTTGTATTCAATGCACTGAACAACAAAAAGCTGGTGCTGCAGAGAAAGAGGAAAACTTCCAGCCCGCGGCCCCATGACAGAGCTCATGGGAGGCTCTTGGGCACAGACTGCTCCTGGGAGGCATCACAGCCCCAGGATGGGAACAGGGAGTTGGATAGAAGGAAAATAAGGGGACCTGCAAAAGTAACAATGGGACTGCCACTGCAGAGGGAGTTGTTGCATGGATGGGGAGAGATGGGACTAACTGGTTCCCTTGTCTTTGTGCTGACATGGTTTCTGGTGAGAAGGTGCTGGTGGTTAGTGGGAAGAGCCAACCCTGACCCCGTAGGAGGGAGATGCCCCAGGGCAGGGCACTTCTCTGCCCCAGCCCAGCCCTGACACTTGGGGACCGAGGTGTTCTTACCTGTAAGAGGCTTGCTTTCTGATGGCCAATTGCAGGAACTGCTCCTCCACCTCTACCACGGCCACTGCCCCTCTCATCTCCTCCCAAGCTGGATCCATGCTGTGGAGGCCCAAGCGCTGTGCTTGCCCAGTGCTCTCTGCATCTACTTCTCCTTGGAGACTTGCTGTGGCCCCCCTGGCCACCTCACCATCATTCCTGGCAGGGGAGAAGTCTCTCCAGCTCCCAGGACCTTCAGCCATGGTGAAGTGAGGTGTCTCTCTAGGCGAGGAGTCCTCCAAAACTTCTTGGGCAGCCTGGTCTTGCCCCACAGAGTCCCACGGTGCTGCTCTGCTTTGCCTCCCCAGGGCCGTGGGACAATCCCAGCGAGGCTTAACTCCTTGAGGAAGCACAAGCACGAGAAAAAGCAGCGTCCAACTTTTTGCAGTGGTATTTATCAGCCTCTTGAATAGTAGCTTGGGCAACTCAGGCACAGCAGCTCAGCCTTACACTGTCTCTGCTGCCCTGCCACTCCGAAGCGGAGGAATATCTGAGAGAAACACGGAATCGCTGGTGCTGCTCCTCGGAGGTGCTGGCACTGAGGGCAGCGGGGAGGGAGTGGGAAACACAGCGCTCGCCGGAGAAGGGGTCTTAGGAGAGAGCACGGTCCAGGGATAGCGATGCTTGCAGTAAGCGGAAGAGAGCTTGGGTTGCCTTCTTGCGAGGGTCCCTCTCCAGGCACGTCCCTTAGCGTCCCCAGCAGCAGCAGCCGAGCAGGAGCAGCAGGCAGAGGTAGGCAGCGAGTAAAGTGCCTGTGCACTGCAGCAGCTCGCAAAAGACAAAGCAGAAAGTGAGCGTGAGTGTGTGCTGTGTGCGTGGGGAGGGGGCTGCGGGGAGCTGCACGGAGCAGGCAGCCTGGTGTCACCTTAGAGACACTCGAAACTGGCACTTAACCCTTCGGAGTCTGGGGAGGCAGAGGAGGGTGACCACTCAGCCACCCCTCTCTGCTCACAGTCCAGCTGGCATCTGCCTGCCTGCAAAGGCTGCTCAGGGAGCTGGGTCTCAGCCACTTGTCTTAACCGGACCTGCCATCAGGTGAAGTCAGGCAGCCTGGAAAACTGCATGACAGCAGCCCCAGCAGAGCAAAGTACCTGTTGTTTTGTCCAATTATCCAACATGGATAAGACCTGTCTGGGCACAGGGTCCCTGACTATGGGCAGTGGTACTCAACCAAGCAGGTATGGCCATAGCATGGCCTCCCTCTTCCCAACTGGCTCAGCTCCTTACCATTTAGGAGGCCACATTATCCCTGATTTTTCCTAATTCAAGGCATTTTTTTCTCCAGTCTTGGCATCCAGAGGTAGAAAGGCCCTTCTGTTCTCTGCCCACATCCATCAGGAGAGTTGCATTGTCTGTTTGTCCTGGGCTGGGACTGAACTTTGTGACCACAGTCCCAGCTATGGCCTGCCTCAGCCTTGCCCACTCTGGTGCTGTGGATGCCAACTGGGGTGAGAAATCCCCACAGAGCTCCCATATGTGCCTGATTTGTTCTGCCCCAGATTCACATGCTGAGGCTTTACCTGCTAGGCACTGGAAAATTTGAACTTCAGGTCTATAAGAGCTAGCCCCTGCATCATGACAGGGCCCAACAGTCATGTATTACACCAAGAACACATTGCCGTCACTCCTACTCCCAGTGTCATCCCATGAAGGTCTGGCACGACTGGAGCTGGAACCCGTCCTCAATGTGCTCTGACTGCTGTATTACCTTGGGAGTTGTCAGGAGCAGCTCATTCATCTTGCCACCACTCCCCATCACCTCCATGTGGCCCTATGACATCTCTGCTGCAGGGTGCTGTGGCACAGCACATTCCCATGCCATTCCTGACCCCAAACTTGGAAGCAGCAGAGGCTGGAGAAGGGCTGTGGCTTTCCCTGGGAACCACAGCCCAGTGGCACCTTCAATTCAAGTTACCTAACCTTTGTCTGGTCCTAAATGAAACTATGACATCTCCCCCTCTCTATTCCTGCTGGAGGATTTGCACCTCCCAAGGGGCACAGCAGCCCCCGTGCCCACTCCTCCACAGAACCGTGACTGGCAGGGAGCCCCACACCCTCCTTGCTGCGTGACTCAGCCCCTGCAGCCCCCACAGGGCTTTTGTTCCCCATTAAAGCTGGAATGCTGCTGGCTGAACCCTCCCTGATGAGCAGAGCTGGCCCTGGGGAAGCAGCTTCACCCTCTCTTGCTGGGACAGAGACCCACCTGGGAGCTTGCCAGTGCTCCCTGCATGGATGCATGGCCCTACTCCATGTCCTCTTGCTGCCCATGGGCACTGCAGAGGCTGGGAGCAGGCTGTGGAAAGGGAGAAGCAGCAGGTGCCCAGCTGGTGCAGAGGGACCTATGGCACCTCAGTTCTTTTCTCCACCCATGGGGCAATGCCTCCCTGCCTGCCCTGGGGCTGTCTCTGGCATGGCAGTGCCCCTTTTGCCATGGACTTATGAGAGCCACCTTCACCTGTGCTGGCCAAGCTGCCAGGGTAGGACAGAGCTGGGCTGCCCAGAGGAGCTACTGGGGATGCAGGTCCACTCATGCGCTCAAGAGATTTTGGCAAACGTCTGTCTTATCCCTTATGGTTAAAGGCCACCAAGCTGAGGAAGGGGATGGCCAGTAAGGGATGGATGCAAGTTGAAAGCTGGAGGAGAGCAGGCTCCAGACTTCCAGGTGGGAAGGAGTGGAGAGCATTTCTCACTGGTGGATGTGTTGGTGCCATAGGAAAGGAGCTTCAGGGCAGGAAGCAGAGGCCCTTATTGCAGGAAATGTCCCAAGAGCCAGGCAAAGCAAAGCTCTGGGGTCACAGCGCCTTTGATCAAGGCTGAGAGAGGGCCTGGACAGTGGGTACCTCCTGCCTTCCCAGGGGGGATGATCCTGTGCTACAGAAACCTCCTCTGCAGGGAGGAGCTGGCCCTTTCTACCCACATGCCAAACTGTACAGCTGTCACACAGGCAGGGCAGGGCAGATTTTGTGTGTCTGGAGGAGACATCACAGGATATGCCTGCATGAGGGGATGTAAAGGATTGCTCAGGCTTCTACAGCTTTCTCTGCCCACCTGTCTCAGAAGGACATTTCACATGTGTGTCACAAATCGGGTCACCCTTCACTTGGAGCTCCCTCAGGACCTGGGAAAAGCAGGCAGATGCTGCCTGGGGACAATGTGGCTGGGCAGTTGTGTTGGGTCAGTCCTGTCCTCCTGGCACCCAAGGCACCCTTCAGCTGAGCCAGGTCACCTGTTTACATGGCACTCACCTGTGCCCTGGGTAGAGGTTTCCTTCTGTGTTGGCACATGGAACAGTGCAAGGGTATATTGGTATTACAATACAGACCCCATCCTCGTTTTTGCAGGCACAGGCAGAGCATGAGCCTTCTAGGAAGCAGCATTTCTAGCGAGTACAGCTCTGGGAAGGTACAGTCTCCTCCCCTGGGCAGAAGAAGAGGAACCTCTGCCCTGCTCACCTCTAAGCCCCATTCCAGCCACCAGATTAGAAAATCAACACAGATTTGTTGAGGCAGGCTGGGTCTGTGTCCATGCAGGTGCCATTGCTGTTAACAAGCCCTCAGTACCTGTGGAGTATCAGGAGGTGTGACCTCCCCATTCTCCCCAGAAGGTGTCCAAAGCCCAGGCTCCTTGCCAGGCAGCAGGACCAAAGCCTGCTGATCACATGATGGATCCATGTGATTGCTAGCACACTCCCAAATGGGAACAGCAAGAGGGATCGTGCTGGGCTTGGAGAGTGGGGATACTCTCCTGAGATCCCTAACAGGACTTGTCCTTCTTTAACGAACAAAACATACCCACAAGGCTGCTGCTATGCACTGCCAGTGACCTGCTTGGCAGTGGCGTGCCTCAAAAACCAATTATTTTCTCTCTCTCTCTCTCTTTTTTTTTTTTCTTTTTTCAATTGGCCTGGTCAGGAATAATTTGTCTCTGAAAAACGAAGTCCATGTTCCGTTAGTGCTCCTTTGCTCAGGGGTTGTAAGTGTCGAGAGTGCATAGGCTTCCTAGAAATGTGACCCTAAATGAGCAAAAGCCCATTTTGGCATGGCAAAGCTTGACTGGAGGCACTTGGAGCAGACCAAGCACAACTGAGTGAGGCTGAAGGTGACTTGTAAAGAAGGTGACTCTTGCTTTGCTAATTCTCTTGTTCTGCTCTAATTCTGCTGTAGCCAAACTGGTAGATGTGATTGGCTGGCCGCATTTCAAGAGGCATACCAGGGATCAAAAGATCCTAATGTGCCTGCTTTGAGCAGCTCAGAATTATCTAGTAGACTGCAGAATTAGGAGGATTTGTCAAGATGGAGGGGAATTTTCTCCTGATGGAAGGGGGTTCTGGTTGCTCTGGCCACGTCAGTGATAAGGCATCAAAGCCTGAGAACTCATCCTTTTAAGAATTTCCCTCTTGCACCTGTTTTCCATTGTGCATGAAGGGTGCATGCCAGAATCTCCCTGGAAGGCAATTCCTAAGGAGCTGCGTGAAGTTTCACAGGGGTGAGCAGAGCAGGAGCCGCTCCCTTGGATGAAATCTAGTGACTGCAAGGAGCAGCCCCACCCCACAGAGGGGGAAGGTGCATCATACTGATGCAGGAATAGGAGGCTGCTTTTGGACAGGGTGTAACAGGGAAAACATCAAAACTAGTTCTGGCCCAGGACACAAACTGCAGGGCAAGGCCAGGCATTTTCTTGCCTCAGTGGGTGTGCAGGGGAAGGGAGCTCTAAAGGGGTCTGCGAAACCCACGTCAGTCTAACCCGCCACTCTTCAATGACCTGTCATGACAGCATGGCATCAACTTTACTCTCTCCACAAAGAAATTGTAATCCACAAAAAGAGACCTTTGCAAGCCCGAAGCCTCACATTCTTCTGCTGTGGCAGAGTCAGTCCTGCAGTACCATCCCAGCCAGAGGTGAGAGACAGAGCCACCAAGCTACTGCTTGGGCTGCTTTCCAGATATGGAGGGCCTGACTGCAAGAAAGAGCTGTTTCAATAGCCAAATTCTAATGTACCCACTTGGAGCGTTCTAGAAAATGAAGATTTGTTTTCTAGATCCCGTTGCCTTGTGTTTCACATAAAATCAGGACAAAACAAACCAGTTTTCACAGATGCCAATGGACTGTCAGAAGTACAGCCAGCCTACCAGCCAGGACCCAGGTCATTGCCAGTCGGAGCGCAGCACAGCTACTCCGCTTTTACAGTTAATGGAAGGATTTAAGTACTTTTTCAGACAGGATGGGACCAGAGCTATGTCTTTGTTGTGCAGACCCCTTCACAGTCCCTGCACCTCACAAGAGGATGATAGTGGTATTTTGAAGGGGGGAAAGGAACTGAGACAGAACAGTTCTGACTTGTTCAGAACTGCAGAAGAAATGACAGTGCTGCTGGAAACAAAACATGCAAGTTTGCTTCTTAGCCCCCAACACTGAGCATGGGGTCCCAGTACTGAAGCAATTCTGCACGTGGCCTGGGAATGGAACAGGGAGCAGGAAGTGAGGAGCTGTGCATGTGGGCTGGCGTGACCATGCCTCAATGAAAGGACTTGTCAACCCAGGATTGATGCTGCAACTTTTTATTTTATTTTTATTTTGCTTCACAAAGCAAATGCAGAGCAAGTGATAGGAGGAGGAGAAAAGGTGGCTTGGAAAAAACTAAAAACAAAAAAATTAAAAAAAACCCCACAAACCAACCAACCAAAAAAAAAAAAACAACCAAAGAGGAGAGAAGAGGCAGCTGCTGGAGTATAAGTGGAAAGTGAGCTGCTACAAGAAGTTGATAGATGCCAAGCCCGCACTAATTCTTAATAAAATACAATACTGAAAATAGGATCTGAGAGTCTCCAAAATACAATATCTTAAGGGATCGGCAATAATACAAAATAAGGTTCATTATGTACAAACGAGTTCTGCTCTTGGTCTCTGTACAACGGTGGGAGTGAGAGGCATGGGGACATGCTCAGTGGAAGTGCTGGGGTGGAGGAAGGCGTGCTTGGACCCGGCAGTGGTTCTCTGTGCTGGGGTGGAGGTGGAGGTTGGGAAATGCAGTGGTATCTGGTGACCTTGAGAAGAGCTATGCTGAAAGCCACCTTCTTCCTCACCCCCACTGGCCACGCAGGTATGGCTGCAGCTAGCTGTGTCCAAATTTTTCCTAAATGGCTTTGGGGGCAAAACCAATTTTCAAAAGGTAGAAAAGAAGGATACGAGGGCCCTTCCCTCGCTTCTCCTATTCATTGAGCAAGAGCCATCCCATCCTTCCTCTCCAGGGGGCCTTCTCCACTCCCAGACTGGACGAAGAGGAGAGGCTGGGGCAGTGCAGAGTGAGTCCAGGGTGCTTGATGAGAAGCAAGTGGAAGAGGAACCTGCTGTGAGACCTGACAGAGTGCGCAGGGACTCCCGTGTTAAAACATGTGGGGCAACCTGCCACATCGCAGATCTCCAACACTCATGTCCCACGTTGTCCTTTCATCAAATGGCAGCTGAGGGAATGGAGCGAGGAGACACTTAAGCCTTTCTACAGGGCTTTTGATGGGGAGGGAGAAGGATCGGAAATGAGTGTCTGGGTGCTAAAAAGGATGGCACAGGCTTGAGATGAGGTCACTTCAACACCAAAATTGGCAAGTCTGGCCTGAGGGATGGTATGGCAAGCATTTGCTACCTTTGGTGTCAGTACTTAGAAGGAAGAGGTCTAAGACTGTCTTTCGTTACCCCGGCCAATTCCAACATGCCACCCCTTTCCTGACAGATGTACCTGTCTCAAGAAATGCCAGTATGTCCTCAGTGGTTTTCACAACACTATGTGTTGTGTGCACACGGAGGATGTGAGGGGAACGATGGCTAATCTGACAGACCTCCAATGGGTTTCAGAGCCTTCCTTGGTGGTTCCTAGAAAGACCCCATTTGTCATGAGGCCGAATTGGGGATGGAGAGCTGGGACGGGGGTCAGATTGTAGGAATGTGTTTCACTCACTCTCAAAGGAAATGCCTCCAGAATGGAAAGCGAGAAGACCACTGACCTGGTTAGCACTGCACTGTAGGGCCCAAGCTGGGAACAGATGGAGAAATACCACTCCTGCCAAAGCAGGGGTGCTGAGGGTGGGGAGAAGTGGGTTGTGGGGGAAAATTGTTATCTATTTCAGAGCTCTGGTTGTCTAGAAGCTGCTGGCTAATTTTTATGGTGATTTATCTATCTGGGATCTGTCTTCCCCACTCCGTTTGTGTGCAGATTTTTGCAGATATTTGGCGTTGAAATTACGTAGGCATGTCCATCAAGAGAAAACTAGAGCAAGGAAGAACTAGGTTTTCTCTCAATGGAAGGAGAAATATACTAACTGATGGAGGGCAAGGAATGAGCTCAAACTCTCCAGAGCCATCTCTCCAGCACCAGCATCACCCACTCCTAAGTCTCCCAGGCAGGACAGTAAATCCAACACTCTCTTCTCTCTCTCCTTCAGGTGCATCTGATGTAGCCAAGGGGTACAGAGCTGGGGACAGCCCCCTGGGTCTGGAGGCTTTGGGGAGTGAGCTGAGTAGTTTGGGGGCTTCCTCTGATCTCCCTCCACTTCAAGGTGAGCCCACATCCATAGGGTAGTGCTCACTTAAGCAGGAGGTAAGGCCAGGAGAAGAGGGTGTCCAGGGCTTCTCCAGAGATCTATTGCTGGTTCTGGCAGTCCTGTGACTCCCCTTAGAGAGATCATTACTAATGGGAAGAATGGGGAAGGGGAGGAGCTGAACCCAAGGCCAGTTTACTAGTGTCTGAATGCAGTGTCCTCTCCTGCCAAGTCCCCTCAGTTGCTTGGTGAGGAGGGAATCCTGCAATCTGACAAATGAGGCCTTGAGGTCCAGCAGCTGCTACAAGAATTCAGTTGTCTCACTGGAGCTTGTCTCCCTGAGGGAAAGAAAAGACAAAGCATCAGTCAAGGTTCATTGCAGCCTCCTATCCAAATTCACCTTTCTGTGTGCCCAACTAGTTTGCTCTGATCGGGATGAACTCCTTCACCAGGTCACTGAATGGAATGCAAACCTGGGACCACCTGAGTCATCCAGCCCTCTGCAGCTCTATGCTAGTGGGACGCTGCTTTATAAAGTCTCAGACTTTTGCTCTAGAAAATAAACTTGTTCTTATGCTCTCTGCCAGGCCTCCTTCAGCCACTGCTCTTAGCTGATTGCCTGCCCCAGGTGGCTCAGCTGTCCTTAGCTTGCAGCAGAGGGGACAGACATGCCTGCTGCTTACTCCCATAGCACGCTGTCCACGCTGTATTTTGGGCTCAGAAGGTGGCCCCATGTGCTTACCTCTCATGGAATTGCTCTTTGAGGTGGGTGAGAGTTGTGTCAGTTTGGTTCTGGTCGGGACCCTCCAGCTGGGTTTTGCTCAGATATTTGGCTGTCTCATGTGTCCTGGCCAGATGAGGCCTTCCCTCCTCAGATTGCCTTTTTTCAGTCTCCCACCCCTCAGGATGGTCCATGGTTAGGAAGGAGCTATAGCTCTCTTCTAAGGAGCCAGCACCCTCATCATAGAAAAGAAGGCTCCGTGACTGAACTGGAAAAAAGGAGAGCATTGGTTAACAATGAGGATAAGGTCTCTTGCAATGGGTATGGGTCATGACAGTGGTTTCAGCACATGCTCAGCCAGCCTTGTCCATGTGTAACTTTGCAGGATACCCTCCTCCCCCCCAGCTTCAGGAGGCAAATGAAGACAGACCCCTGGACACATAGCCTCTTCAGAAGACAACCAGTCTGCCCTGGGACTCTTCCCTCATATTCCTTCCTTTGACACTTGCCATGTTTTAGGACAGCAGTTAGCATGGAATGACAACAGGCCCCAACAGAGTTTTTACCACTGACAGATTAGGAATCTTCCCTCACCACAGCCCCAGCATATGGGATAGGCACAGAGGGGAGGATGCTATGCCTGAGCAGGGACTGTTGAGAGCAGAGCCAGAAATGGTTTGACAAGTTCAAATGGAGGAACCACATTAGACTCACTCTTACTAGTTGTGTAAATGTCTGGTGCTGGTGTTGCTTTCACTGTCTGTGATGCTGAGGAGAACTCAGGGAGACAGGGCATCAGGGATCCCAGGATCAGAACGAAGCAGAGTGCCAGCACCTAGAGAGGAGATCAGCACAGAGTCAGTGCCGCTGAAGAAATGCCATGAAGAACCATTCCCCTCCACAGCACACAAACATGAGGCTGTGTAAGAAGATCTGATCAGGCTGACAATTGGGTACCTGTGGTCCCCCAGGATGGGAAGGGACTTGCTGTTCTAATCTCTGCCTCAGATCTAAGAAGGGAAGCCAGAAACTTCCTCTTGTTGTTTTATTTGGAGTATTTCTGGTTCAATAGTGAGAACTTGTCCGTCCAGTTGAGAAGAGATAGTGGAAGGCGTAGCTGAGAAACAAGCTGAGAAAGAATGAGACTCAACAGAAGGGACGAACTCTGCCTTGACCAAAGGGAACCTGACCGTTAGCTCAGCAGGAGCTATTGTGGGCTGTAAAAAAAACAAGCTCACTGGGAGAAATCTGTGAGGTACCACAGGACATAGCAAGGTGAAGCTACTATCCATGCGAGGACAGAAATGACAGCAGAATTACAGTTGCCTAATACCTGATAGTAAAGATGCTGAGTCCAATGAAAGGGTTAAATTTATGCTTGACATGTAGGTATGCAGGACCACGTGTGCAAGACGTTCTGCTGTCAGGCACACCAGTCAGAGCTACTAGCTCAACAGGAGAAAGGCATATGAAATCTCCCTGGAAATGCCCCTCAGGTAGGTCTGGACCTGTCTGGAAATTCTGTTGTAACTGCAAAGCTTCAGAGTGAGATGCCAGTGCTGATTTTAAGAGCCTCTATAGAGCTTAGGGAACTGTCAGTAAAGAGCAAGAAGGGACATAGGGGAAATAGTACAGAGCCAAATGCTTGTTACCTGAACACCCATGCCGCCAGCTCAGTACTCAGACTTAGCAGCCAAAGAGGCGATGCATCTGTTGGTGATTTCTACTACCTACGTATAAACTAGCTAAGTTTGACCTGGGGGGACACCTGTGGGCACAGCCAGCAATTGCTTGACTGCTTTTCAGAAGTTCACCTATTTCAGAATAGCTGTGCCTAATTAATGCACAGAAGCTGGTACATCAAGGTAATTTTGACCACCAGTGGATTCCAGGAGATAGGGAAGATAGAATAATAACACGAGGATACTGTGCTATGTAAAGAGGGTTTTTAATTGTCCAGACTCTTCATGGCTGGTTTTAAGGAAGGACATTAAACATGGACAGCACAGATGCTGTCTAAGTACGTCATATCAGGCACACAAGGCATTTAGAATCCTTATTCCACAAAAACAGAGGAAAAAATAAATTATGAGTAAATGTTGCTTGGAATTATCACAGCCAAACACACAACTTGCAGAAAAGGGAGCCAGCCCTGTGAAGTCTGTTCTTCCCTCCTAAAACAAAACAGGTTTTTGGGCTGGGAAAGAGCAGTATACTTAACATCTTGCTTTAACATGGCTTTCAACTGGGGCTTTGCAAAACAGCATTGTTTTTGCTCTGTTTTGTTTCAGGTTAACTCTGATGCTCTGATTCAGTTATAGTTCAAACTCTACAACACTTCATAACAATGACTTGTGTTTTGACTCTGAGTACAATTCATCTCACAGCTTTTGACCATCTCATTACTCGACCTCTTAAAAGTGAGGGAAATCAAGCTAGAGAAAACTCCTTCAAAACCAGTTGGAAAAGTGGAGGAAAAACTAATCAAAAAAAGACATACTGAGAGTGTATTTATCAAATGGTTCACTGTCAAACTGTGAGGAAGTAGCAGATGGAGTAGCAGAGAGATCTGTTATGGATCTGGCAAGATTCAGCATTTTTAAGCTTTACTTGAATGATGGACTGTATGAAATCTGCAGATGGGAGAGACTACAAGCAGACTGGCTTTTGGTCAGTATTCAAATTCAGAATGATCTTGATCATGGGAAGAAGCGGTCCAAGAGAACAGTGGGAAGATCTATACAGACAAATGTGGAGACCTGCTGAAACCTCCAAGGTGGCAGGACTGATTAACAGAGGAAACACATCAGTGACTACATGTTTCAGATGTTCTAGAGAAGAAGATCTGGGAGTTAAAAAGGAGCACAAGACAGGCCCAAATCGGTGTCACTTTGCAAAAGGCAAATCGCAGCCCAAGCAGAATGAATAGGCTTTCTGGCTGGATCTGTACTGGCCTTCAGGTGGAACACTGTGTCCAGCTTTGGGCCCCATACTTCCAAAAAGATGCACTGAAGAAAGTCTGGAATAGAGCTCTGGGAACAAGCAGTGATTCAGTAATTCAGCCTACAAGGAAAGACTGAAGAAATCATAGTGATTTAGCAGAGCAGACTGAAGGGAGTTGCTTGAAAACAAGAGTTTTCCAATATGTAAAATGCAGATGCACAAAGGGGGAGTAAACAGATCTTGCTTGGGCAGAAGTTCTAATAGCCTTAAGCTATTGCAAGGGAGATTGAGATGAAATAGCAAGAAAGCTTTATCTGGAAAAGATAACATAGCACTGAAATGGTTTGCCCTGGGAGGCTGAGTACTGCTCACCACTGGAGGCCTTCAAGAACTGGCTGTACAAATATCCAGCAGGAATGACACAGAGCTAAAGAAGAAGGGTAGTCTGCTCCACTCCTGTGCTGCAAGGCATGATGATTCTACATATCTTTTGTGATAAAAAGTGCTGTATTTGAAAATGGAAAATGGGAACTAGGAGGCTTAAGAGAGGAACTGGCCAAAGATAGAAAAGCAAATTACAAATTCTTGAAATGCTTGGAAGCTAGGAAGCCTGAGAGAGTTGGTGTGTGGGCTGGGATGCCTGGAATGAAGGGAGCAGCAAGGAGAGATAAGACGTTGGGACGCTAAATTAGCTATTTTATCAGTCTGTAGCACAGGGGATATCTGGCACCTCTTCTGGACTTGCTTATTCCAGGTAGTAGCATTGAAGATTTGCTGCAGCCAGGGATATTCTGATGAGATGCTGCATTAAGGAGCAATAAGCCACTGGGCTCAGGTAGGTCACACCTCAGAATCTGGAAAGAACTCGAGAATGAAGACATAGAGCAGCAAAAAGAAAAGACAGTCATTAAAATCTGGTCTGACATGGGGGCAGCAAAGAGTACCAAAAGCTTGAGCAGATTTTGAAAGTGCTGGAAATTATAGAGCAGGGGCTCTGGAACTATGGAAACTGAACCAAGAGCAAGAAACAAACCCTCAGGACACTGAGGATACTGAGAAAATGGGGCAAGCTTCTCACCGTCTGTCTGCTTTTTGTGACTGTTAGCAGTACAAAAGTGATTACCAGATAAAGATAACTAACTCTGACAAATTTGTCATGACCAGCTACTACGACAATCCTGCAAAGACATCACAAGGGTGAAGGTTATATTTTTACCATGGATCAGAAACTTTCCCCCAGCCAAAACTGAGATGAAGAATAAGCAGTTGACTCTATGGCTACACAGTGGCATGTCCTAAAACTCCTCAGTGAAGCCAATATTATTTAACCATGATCCTCCACTAGGAGAAATGAGAGGTAAACAGGGATTACCAAAATAACAGACAATCCTGATTAATTTTGGTTAGTCAAAAGGGCAAACAAAGAGAATTCCAGCTGGATTTAGCAAAGCCTGATGTGCAGGCATAGCAAGAACATGCCATTTCTTGCTAATAAACACAAGGTAATGCCCACTGGGATGAATACTTGGACTGTTTGTCCACCTTGCTGAGTTAAACATTAACTCAGCAAAAGAAAACTCTACCCACTACGATGGAAGCTCATTGAAGATTTTTTCTGAATGGCTGATAGCTAATGAAAGGCAAACAAAGTGCCATTTTGCCCAAAGAACAAGACAGTGAAAATGCAGGAATTATTCTAATGTTTCTGCATAAACAACTGACAATACCAATGTATGTATGACCCAGGGCCCAGCTCTGGTGATTATAATACAAAAGGAGAGAGCAGATGTAACTGGCAACACAGCAGGGCAGCAGGGAAGAGGGCAGAGGCAATCTACAAAGCTGTCTGGAGAAGCATGGCCAATAAGGAATATGGAAATGAAGCTTATACCATTAGACAGGTCCCGGTCTGTGTGGAAGCCATTTTATAAGGTCTGGAGACTTTCCCAGCTACCAGAGCCTGCAGCTTCTGTAACTGCTGGAGCAGAGTCCTGTGATAGGAAACAACGCATATCAAAACTTGATAAGAGGCAGCAGCCAGTAAGCGAGGCAAGACTATCACTACTCTCTTCATATTTTATCTTGATTTTTCCTCCTTCTGAAAACAAGTATCTCCCCTTTGCTGTATCTTGCCCAAGTTCTCTGAACAAACAGACTTGGGAAGTGAGAGACAGAAAAAGATCTCACCAGCAGATCCACCACCACCTTCACTGCACCTACCCACTGCTGTGAATGTCTCATTCATTTAGGACTCCTGGCTGCCTCTAAGCCCAGCCTGTCAACTCCCAGAGCAGTGGAGAGCCAGGGTACCATGAAAACCAAGCTCTGGGATGGTGACTGAGCTTTGTAGACAGCTCAGGCCTTTAGCACAGACTTGTCTGCTCCCACTTCACTCACTGACACACTCTGAAGCTCCAAAGCATGAGGTAGAGAGAGAAATAAGAAACAGTTGTGATCCTCTCCAATTTATTCAGTCTTGGCAAACTCTGCAGAGGAATATGGGCAAAGCCAAATCTTGAGTTCAGCAATTAATCATTCTCTGGCTGCCCTGGTTGGAACATGTGCTAAGGTCTCTCTGCCCCATTTAACTGTTCATGGGCATCCACACACATAAACACAAAACAGTGGTAAGTGTTACCAAGAGGTACTGAACCCTTCATTGAGCTGGTGAAGGAATCTGGAATGAGGGAGACTACAAAGCACACAGTTCCCAACAGCTGCAAATTACTGAAATGCAGACTACCGCTGAGTTTCCCTGGGGAGCACTGATTGTTTTACACAAGTATGTTTGAACTTTTATGAAATGCCAGGTCCTAGGGCCAGGTGATTGCAGGAGAATCCCAGCTTTATCTCTTTCCAAATCCTCTTCAGCTACTTGTACACGTGGAGAGAAGCACACAGTGTCCCACTGGCAGTGCTCAAAAACCAAATCCAATTAGAAAGAACACAATGTGTATTTTGAAAAAAAATATCTCCCGTTTTTTACGCCAATCTCCTGATTTTTCAGGGTGGGGCTAATGTTTTTTCAGCAGCAGGGCTGCCCACACTCCCAGAGAGGCCAGGGGGCAAGCTGTGCCTCATGCATGAGAGCAGCTGGGCAGCTGTATCTCTGGCAGATGGGAGACCTCTGGCTCTTGCACACCTTTGCCAGACCACACCTGACAGCCCCCAGTCCTGGCACCAGTGGCTGGCCTGGAAGCCAATGCCACAGCACTCATGTCATGGATGGGAGGAAGGAATGCGGTAGAGCCTCTAGGAGTTCTCCATGAGCCTCTAGGAGTTCTCCATGAGCTGTAATGGCAGCAGAGGAGTGGGTGAGGAACTGACTCTCTGGCTGTGGTTCTCCTCTTCAATTCGAGCTGATATAAATGGGGCTACAAAAATGAGCATCCCCTTCACCAGCCCTGCACTTGACCCTGCCCTTGCTCACACCTGCTGCACCCAGTAAGCGCGAGCAGATTTGGTCCCTTCTCCAGCTCCTGCTGCCCATCCGCACTGCAGGGATGGGAGTCTTCATATTTGCTTCCAAGGAAGCAAATTCCCCTGGTGATCAGTTGGCCAGCTCTGCATATTTGAAGCACAGGTGCTCACCAGAGCTTTGGGTGAGGGACCTTTGGGGCTGTGGGAGCAGCTTGCTCCTTTCAGGGGAGCAGCAGCAGCAGCAGCAGCAGTGAGGGAGATTCTCTGGGCTTGTTTTGCCCAGAAGAGGCTAAGAAATGGCTGGAACACCATATGCACAAGGAATTACCCTAGATTTGGTTGGAGCTATCTTTATTAGAGGAAGAGCCTTTCCCTGTATTCACCAAGTCTGTTCAGCTTTCTCAAGAGAAACCTGAAACAGCCACAATATGTCCAGGCCCTTGTATTCCTCCAAAGTGCCCAAAAGCAGAAACAATGGGTCTGAGAGGCTGGTGTGAGAGGCCTCCCTTGATACATCTGTAGTGGAGACAGCCAGAGACCTGGAGGGCAATGTGGAAGGCAGCATGAGCCCAAAGGGCTGCAAGGAGAAGGAGGAAAATATAAGGGATATGGGAAACGCCTTCCCTCCCTCCCCTTGCTGTGGCGTGGCCTGGTCATCCCAACACAAACATTCCAGGCTTGCTAACCAAACCCAGCTGCCTCATTGCTGTCACAGGCTGAAAACCAGTGCCTTGCTGAGCAGCACCCATCCACCAGGAGCTGGGACAGCCTGCCTTTCTCTTCTCAGCCCTCTGCCCCAGCACTCCCTAACTTCCCTTCCTGCTCACCCTGCCCTACCCACGGAGGGTCAGGTCTAGCCCCTCTTACCTGTTTGCGTTTTCTAAGGTCTCCACTTTTTTCCAGAGTTCATTGTTTTCTGTTGTGTATGTCTCGACCCTATGGGAATAAAACCCATAAGCCAGTTAGTTACAAAGGCCAGACAGATAAAGAATGTAGTGCTTGCCTCTCTTGGGGTCTGGAGGCTCAGTAGCCTCATCCATCACCTGCAGATATGGTCCTGGAGTCAAATGTTACTGGCCCAATGTTGCTGCCAGCCCTGATGGAGCAGGGATGAGACTGCAGGTGAACAATTAAGTGTGACAGTTCAGGGTTTCCCGAGGTTTGGGAGAGACAGTAACATTTGGTTACAGGCAGATCAAGTCAGGATAGACCCAAAGTTACGCAGACATTTCCATCACTTCCAAACCCCCCTAAGGAGCATGAAAAATGAGGAGGACAAAGTAAAACCTCTCCCACTCAGACTGAGAACCTGCCCTGGCTGTGCACCCTGGCTGTGAAATCCAGGCTGCTCCGTGCAAACGCTGGGCCAGTTACGACTGCAGACACTTGAGGGCAGCAGAGAACCTGCAGGCTCCCTCCTACGGCTTCCCAACTGCAGTGGTTGGGCTGCAGCTGGGACAAGGGAAGGGGAATGCCTCCACGCCCGGAGGAAGGCAGGCCAGGGACACAGCCTGATCCTGACGGAGGCTTCCAGGACAGCCTCTGAACTAGGCGTTCCGTGCAAAAATTGGGCTTGCAGCAAAAGTGTCAAACTGAATGGTGAAGAGCCCAATTATAGGTTCTGACTAACCAGCTTTTACAGAAAGCCAAACTGACCAAAGACATGTTCCATTAAAAAAAATCACTGAATGCTGCTTTTGGTTCACATTTAAACCTGGCATTGTTTGAAAGCCATCTGTCATAGCAATGCTCCAGCATAACAAACTGCCGAGTACATACAGGCACCACGCACGGCCACAGCTGGGAAACAGGCCCCAGCACCAAACGCCCTGGACCTGTCCCTTAAGCAAGGCCAGCCAACTCCCCAGCTCCAGCTTGAAGGATCTGGGTGAAGGATCTGGGTGTCAATGTGGGACACTAGCTGGAGATTATGTGCTCTGATGCCTGGACACACACATGCACACTGAGATGCTCCATGAGAACCTGAAGGTGCCTCAAGTCATCTGTTTTAATTCAGCATTTCTGTGCAACTAGAGAAGATAAACAGGTAGCATCAGGAAGAAGAGTTAATTAAGGTTGGGTTTGGGGGTTGTTTTTTTCCATTTGCTGATCTCAGATGGTGTTAGGAACTGAGAAGAAGATAGTATTTATGCAGAAAGATGAATTTGCTCCTGGATCCTAGCATTCTTCTTTGCCCATTATGGGAATGCCCATTGGGGTTGCTAGTACAGAAGTTATTTTCTACCCTGTCAGTGTTATGTGATGTCACCATAAGCTTTTGCCTGCTATTCATGCAGGACCTCAGGGTTGCAAGGAGAAAACCAAAGCTAATGCAGAGAGTGGAAGGGGAGGGAGTGTGGGGAATAACTGTAGTGCAAGGTTTTTCTTGCTGTCAAGTGCTTGTGTGTCCGCCTTCATGGGAAGAGAGGGGGAAAAGCCATGGATAGCACTCTCAGAGAGCCCACTGCTTGTGGGACAAAAAAACCAGAACCAACTTCTAGTGGGGAAACAGGACTCTTACCCAAAATCCCACCTTGTTGGCAGCCAAAATGGCCTGTGTTTTGGAGGGGACCAGCCAAACTAAGCAGTTGGAAACATAAAATTTCTTGAGCAATCTTTATCCCACAAGAAGGCTTCTAGGAAGGAGGGGAATAGGGGCAGGATCCCAAACCAAACTCCTGTGCAGCCAGCCTTGCAAGAAATCATACTTTCTTAGCAATTCACAAAACACTAGAAAGGAAGACTGTGCATGGACAGGATTCCTTTTTTTTAAAGATAAGACTGAGAAGAAGAAACTTACTTTTTCTCTAGACACTCCACATACTCTTTCTTCTTCCTGCGACTCTCCTGAGCAGAGATCTGGGAGGGAGGCAAGCCATCAGAGAGGAATCAACATCATAAACGTCTGGACATTTTGTGGCTCATGCATCTTGTCTGTTCCCTGCACACACAGCACTCTAATGGGGAAGTCGCCTTCCAGTCTGTCATTCCTACTGGTCTCCAGGCCAAAACTGGGAGGGATGGATGCTGTAGGTATGCAGCCTTTCTTGGCCTGTAGGCCACAACCATTTGTTGCAGTATGTCCCTCACTGCCGAAAGCATCTTTAGGGTTGCTTTGAACTCCTCTGACTCACATGGGTATGTGCTGTGGCCATCTGGGCTGATTCTGCCCCAGATCACTTATGAGTCACCTGGTGATTAATTCAGGCTCTCACCATTTCTCCCACAGGATGCTTTCCTATACAGTATAAAGTCTCACAGCCTCTGCCTGGCTCATGAGCTCTATGCATCACCCGTCCTGCATCATGCAATGGCTCTGGTTTCCCTGCCTCCACCAGCAAGGGAACTGACCAGGCCAGTTAGTCTGATCTGTGATGCCTTGGCCTGTGGGCCCTATGAAGGCCACACATTCCCAGGAGCTGGGCTGGAAGCCATACTTCCCGGATATGGCTGTATGCAGAGCAAGCATGCAGAGATGACCCCTGGCACCATTTTTGTGGGTTGGGAGGCTCGTGCTAATGTACCAAAGGCAGGATCCCACCTTTTCTGTGAGGAGGTGAGGGTAACTATAGCACTGGTCAGCTGAGGATGCTCTGGAATCATGGGAACTGCATGATTACATTTTTTGCAGTCACCTTGTTCTTGATTTTCCTCCTGACTCTCTTCAGTGCTTTCTCCTCTGCTTTGGTGAGGGGCAGCTTGGTAGGAATGGGGTAACCCTCGGCAATCAAGGTGCGCTTCTCCTCTTCAGTCAAGAGCAGCGGGCCAGAGGTTCCTTGTAACTTCTGAAACACACACAGAGCATCCATCAGTGCCAGCAAGGAGTTCTATCCCAATGATCCTCTTTAAAGCCTTGCAGAGCATCCAGAGGCTGTATACATCAGAATGGAATACACTGCTTCCTGCTGATACTAAATAGGTGCAGGACAGTGCTTTTTTCTGCTCTCAACCTGATCACGGGGGCACAGCTCAGCAGCTCTTTTCCTCTTTTACTTGGGAGGGGATCTGCTCTTTCGTGGTGAGGCTGGCTACACAATTCTACTGCAGGACCCTGCCAAAGAACTTTTGGGCAATGGATAAAATGGTCTGGTTATGGGAATTCTCAATAATTCCTTTCTCTCCCATTAACCTCCTCAGAAAGTCCTCCTGTGCATAGGCCACTTCCCAAGTCGGGGGTGAAAGACAGTACCTGCTAAAACAAGGTAGCTGATGGTAGGTATTATGCAAGACTCATTGTGCCTCTCCTCACTCCTCACCATCCTGTCCCCACATCCCCGTGCTAAGACATCACATTGCTTTGCCAGAGCATTGCAGCTTGGAGACCATAACAAGAGCAGGATCCCCTACGTGAGCCTTGGAAAGCCTCCAAATCCCTCTGAGCACCAAGGAGCCCTGTGTCCCAGCGATGTCCTGCTGCCTCCTTACGTGTGGTGCTGTGAGGAGAGGTGAGGAGGAGATGGCAGTAGAAGAGCGAGCAGCAGGCCGGGCTGGGCTGGAGGGAGGCAGGGACCGAGGGCTCTGAGATCCATCGCTGTCACTGCCATGGCTGCTGGGTGGAGTTGGAGGCATCTGCACCAGGTCATCTACTGAGAAATAAGGAGGTCAAGTCAATGGCTCTCATGTCAGCCTGTTGGTAGAGGCATAGGAGAGGGTAGAAGAAAGGAGAGGGTGATGAGTTTCCCAAGATGGGGTGGGTCTGAGAATCAGGATGGACTGAGCACTGCCCAAGAGAGAAGTGAGACTGACTTCAAATGTGCTAAACTAGGAACTGCAGGAGTGCTGGTAGGGGCTTTGCCGAGACACTGAAGGTATTTACAAAACAATAAGGTACTCCAGTTCAACCAAAATGAAGTACAAAGCCCCTGATGTTCACAAGTACAGGAAGCTCTGTGAGAGAAAAGCTCTTCCAAAGCACTGCTGGGCTCACACACTTGACAGCACACTTGATCCAAAGGGGCTCCGGTCACTCAGTTAATTTCCAAGCACTTGAAAACTGTCCCCACTTTGTACTGGAGAGCCCTGGGGGCCTTCATGGAAGTGGGAATATGCCTAAGGAATGTCTTTCTGCAGTAGTGGGAGTTCCTATAGTGCTTTCATTTGTGCATCGGCAGATTTTCAGATGCTTGGGTTTCTTTCAAATTAAACTGGATCCTGAATTTCCTGACTTTCAGATGGTTATTTTTGGATAACTCTACGGTCTCTCTGAGGATTTTAAAGGCACTCTTGCATATTTCCAACTCTGAAGTAGCCTGTTTTGCCTGGGAGTCCCTATCTGAACAATTTCTGTGTGTGGCTGCTGGTCCAGACACCGATCTGCATTGGAACAGTGCAATGCTCACTCCTCTATTATTCTGTGCCCCAACGCTACCTTGTATGCATGGCTCTGACCTGCATGCATGGCTCCGGTGTTGTCTTTTCTCCCAATATAATAACCATCCATATCTGAGTAATATAGTTGACCAGGAAATTCTATCTTCTTACCTGTAGGAACATTTAGAAACTGGTTCACCTCTTTGGGTTCAGCTTTGATCACAGGTGCTGGAGTAATTTCTATGGGAATCTGTGGAAAAGAAGCAGAAAGAGCTTTTGGGCACTGCCAAACACCTCACCTCCCCTGCCCAAAAGGCTCCCACCAGTTCTGTTCACAGTCACTGCTCCCCTGCTGCCCATCTTGCCCCACCTCACAGCTCTGCTCCAAAGCAGCCTCTCACCACACATAAAGGAAACCAAGAGTTCAAACATAAGCCTCTGAAGTCTCAGTTGCTGGGCACACAGAGTGCAAATATGTTTGCAGAGGAAAAGGCAGAGGCAGATGCTTGTGCTGCCAAGCAATGCACTGAGCTGAGTACCTCCAAAAGGGAGATGACTTTTATCCTTGGCAATTATTTTGATAGACCCAGACAGTGTAATTTAAACCAACCCATGTGTTACCATGCAAAGTCCCTCTTTGATCTGCCTTTATTATAAATGGGAATATAGAGGTTATACAGAACAGAAACAGAACAACCATCCTGTCCTGCTCACATGATTTTCCCCAAGGCCACTGGTCAACTGTTTCCAATCGGAGGGGACTGAGAGCTGAATAAAGAGTAGATTTATTCCCATCTGGGTTATGCTGCCCTTCAGCTCCTTTGCTTGCCAGCCCCCTGCCCACCATAGGTTGGAGTTTTTACACTAAACAGACACATTTCAAACTCCTCCAGACTGTAAACACAGCTGAGAGAAGACCATGGAATGGCTGCTAAGCACACAGAAGAGCTTTGAGGGCACAGCAAGTTCAAGCTGTGTAAATAATAGAGGAAGTTTGTGCACAGTTTTGGCTGGAAAAAAACATTTGTTTTGGATGGCTGCTTAAATGGGAAGATGATCAGCATGAGTGAAAAAATGAAGTGAACCCCAGAGATGCTCTACTGTTATCTACTGAGCTGCTTCAGGATAGGCAAGGTCTGTGTGAGACTGATCAGACCTTCTCATGAACACAGTTGGACTCAAGGCCAGCCAAACTGAGCCCTTGACTTACACCTAGATGCCAGTGGCATAACTGTACCTCCTTCAGACAAACAGATTTCTTAAAAACCTGGATATGACAAAAAGAGTTGGCCCCTTGTTTCATAGAAATAATAATTCCTGCTGCTTCATAGGAAAAAAGTAAGCAGGACCTGGAGTGGAACCTCCACTTCTAGTGAGCAGTTATGAAAAGTGAGAGGCCAAGTGACAAGTCCAAAAGAGAGCGGCAGAGGAGGGGTCTATACTCAGGAATAGTGGGGTCACTGGCACCACACTACTTTACACTGTTTTCTGAAAAATGAAAATAAGCCAAGAGTGGCTATAGAAATACTGGCAGATTGGAGGGGACAGATCTCCATCAGGTGCAAGCTTAAAGCCTTTGGCTTTTGTGCCAAGGAACTGGGCTTATATTTAACCAAGATTGCAAAGCCTCCTGTGCTGGAGAAAATCCTCCTTTCACCACTTTCTCTGGAAGGATAAGCTGTCTTCTAGCTTCACTGCAGAAATCAAGAACAGTTCCAGCCAACATCAGGAATGCTGCTCCTCTGACTGCCATTTCAAGAGGAGAATGACAAATAATGCAGTATCTGGGCTTTGTATCACCTTCTCCTCTCTGTCCAGCAGCTAAATCACCTTGCAGGACCCTGCAGTCACATGGCTGAGTCTGCATCACCAAGGGTGCCGCTGTGTGAGAGCCCAGGTTCCCAATGGATCTTAGATGGGCTCACCTCCTCGGGGACTGGCAGTCTCTGCAGAGGGTTGAGGTTCAGCACTGGTATGGAGCTGGCAGCTAGCTGGGACTCAGGCAGGTCTAGAGCCAGGTTCTGTTCCTGTTTCACCATGATGGAGCAGAGCTTGGGCCCCAGCGACCACACTCCATTCTCCAGCTCTGAAACATGCACAACGTGAGAGTCAAACTCTAGCAAGAACAGGGCAAGGAAAATAAAAGCCATGCAGACAGCTTCCCCCTGACTGAGGAGGCTGTCTTTCCAAGTTTAGCACTGTAATCACACAAGCATGTGCAGGCCCACAACACAGAGTGAAAAAGGGAGTGAACCCCCAGCATGTGGGGAGCAGGCAGGACAGAGCTAGAGGAATTGTATCTCTGCTGTGCTCTGACTGTGCAGCCCGAGCTCTGGAGGACAGCTGCAGGGTTTCTTCCCCCAGTAATGTCTATGTCTCATCCTCTGGAGCTTATTTATATTTAGGGCTCAGTGAGAGGAGGATGCTGGGCTGTTGCTCCTGAGGCAGCATGGCCAGCATCACAGAGCTGCCAGGTGTGTTACCAAGAATAGCACCATCTCTGTGCTAGAAAGCTGGTGAGAGGGCAAGCATGATGACAGTAAAAGGCTGACAGTGCTACTTTGGCCTCCAGATGATGTTGTGCCATCATCTGGATGATGGGCTTTTTTGCCTGACAGAAAGGAGGAAGGTCCATTTCTGTGGAAGGAAGCCCAATGTGGCACCTGCTTGTGAGGCTGCTTCCACAGCTGGTCCCCTCAGTCTCACCTCTGAGACTCTCTCCCTCACCCTGCACTGCTCAGCAGAACTGCTGCCTGCAGCTGTGCCGTGCTGCCATTGCTAGCAGGGGCAAGAAGCAGCAGTGAGGGAAATGAAGTGTCTGAAGAGAACTTGCTCCCTGCCTGCTCTGTCCTGTGCACATTTGAGACGTGAGCCTGGCTTGTCACTGGAATTAGAGATCACAGGAACTGGGATTCATGCAGCATTGGATAAACTGCAGCTCAGATGGGAAAAAAGAGTGCTAGGCAGGAAAGCTGCCTGGACTCTGCTCTGAAGTTTTGGTCTTTGCTCTTCAAACACTTCAGCCTGCCAAAAAGCTACTCCTGGCTGGCCTACAGCCTGCACCCTCCTTCTTAATCCTCATGCCTTCCCTTTCCCTTTTTATCTGACAACCAGAAACACATTTGGCTTGACACAGGACAAACTATTGCTAAGCATGTCACCAGATAGTGCCCCAGTTGCCTCCACATGAGGCCATAGTCCAACTCACTCTCTGACCCCTCTTGCACTGCTCTCTGCATTCAGTAGCCTCAGTCAGACCCAGGGATGTTGCCTAGCTATCTGCTGCACACAGCAGCTCTTCAGTGCAGGCCGCAGTGCAGAAGATGTCCTGGCAAGAGGAGAGGGGAAAAAAGGTCCTTCTCAGGTCCAGAAAAGCCTGCACAAGGAGTATAAGCAAACAGCTGTTTATGTGGAGCTGCCATCTGATCTAAACTTAAAGGTACCTTAACAACTCAGCTTCTGTTGCCTCTTGGAGACGCCAGGGCAGAATCCTGCCTCTGGCTTTTGCTTGGACAGAGTGGTGTTAAAGCCTGGGCAAGGATTATATCAGTTAACACAGTGCTGTCCTTGCCAATGGAATATGTTATCTTCCTGTCTTTGGTCTAGCACCTCTTATTTTCTGCCTAGACAAGTATCTTTAGCACATGCTCGTTCCTTCCAGCTGCCTCTGTGACTGGACATCTTCAAGCACAGACACAGCTCCTGTGGCTGCTCTGTGTGTGTATTAGCTGTGAGTGCTGCTCTCAGTGCTGCTAGATCACTTCCTAGAGCTTCCCACAATGCAGCAGGGCCAATGTCATCAGGCAGCGTCTCAGGCAGAGCTGCACTGCACAGGCATAACAATGGAGAGGCTTCTGAGCAGACACAGAGTGGACTGTGTTTTCTCTGTCCTGCAAAGGACACCAAACCTGCAGCTGGTACCAAAGTCTCCTGGTATGCAGACAACCCCCCCTGCATACCTCTGGTATGCAGACAGACCCTTTCTGATGGAAGGAGGCAAGGTGGTACACAGCCATGAGTGTTTGTGTCCATAAAACGTGGACTGACTTCTGCCTGTCACAGAGATAAAGGACCTTGAGAGATCTTCCAGTCTATCCCACTGCTCTAGGCAAGTTCAACCACATCTGTGTCAGTCCTGACAGATGGTTGTCTGACTTAATCTTACTGCTCTGAAAGGCAATGAAGCATCCACAGCTTCCCCCATTTAAATTTTTCTATGGTTTCACTATGCCCAGTATGGGAACATTTTGCCTTACTATGATTTGAAGCCTCCTCTTCCTCATCTTCCCTTTCTGTTGCAAAGCTCTGCATTCCTCTTTTTCTCAGAAGTGTGGGGCACCCTCTGTGGGAGCTGCTGCTGAAGCAAGGGAGAGCAGACCACCAAGAGCTCTCCCCAGCGAGACTTGACTCAGTGAGAGAGCAGCCCCCCCAGTGCTGTCAGTCCAGACAGGCTAAGGAACAGACACCCAAATAAGTATGTGCTGTCCTCCCATTTCCTGTCTACATTCTGACCCTGTTCTCTTTCCCACCCTCTAAGATTTATCTGGGGAGTGATTTGGTTACAGAATCAGAAACACATAGGCCATCAGAGGGTCAATAAAGGATTGAGGAGGAGGCATCTCGTGCGGACACATGTGTGTTCTGCTGCCTGAGAGGATGTTTCAGAGGCCTGGCCAGTCTGTAACCACTGCAGATTTCACTATATGCTGGTGGATGAGGCATCCCAGGAAGCTCCCCCTCTACTCTAGATACTCTGTACGTATTAGGAAGAAATACAGCTGAGAGGTATCTGTAGCTGCTCCGGGTTGAGGAGGTGAGGCAAAGAGCAATGAGGAAGCAGGACTTGAACAGGAGGGCTGGCACTAGCCTGAGGCTGGTCCACCACCCGCTGTTCTGCACAACCCTGGTTCCCCCTGCTCCTGGCATCAAATCACACCCTGCAAAACTGAGGGCTGGTACTGACAACTGAAGAAGCCAGTCCGTATGCACAAACCATCTGGAAAGCAGACTCTGCTGATAAGCAGGGTCACAATGCACCCAGTGGCTTGCTCTAGCTGACCTGTGTTTGTGGGAACCATATGGGAAGGGGTAGGATTTGGAAAAGTTTTGGAGATCTGCAGAAAAGCTGGGAGAAAGCTGATTAATAGCAAGCCTCAGCCAGCTCCAAGCCTAGACAGAGCAAGGGCATTCCTGAGGAGCTCTGCAGACCAAGCAGAGCTTGCTTAATGTCAAAGAAAAGCCATTCCTGGACAATTAATTTTAAATGAATGTCTAAAAGGACTGAGACCGGATGGAACCGTGCCAAAAGGACTGCACAGTGTTGTAAATACTGGATCTGACTCAGGGCTTCACTAGAATATGACTCACATCCAATTATGAGCCAAGAAAGCCCTGGAAAGATGAGCTGAATTATCAAGCTGCAGGATTGGGTGCACAGATACTCCTATACCTGCCATATTAATGTTAGGCCTTACTTCCTGTATAAAGCTGATCTGCACTCTCAAGAGAGCAAGTGCCAGGTGCATCTCAAGCTCTCCTGAGTTGAGTGCTGTACACTCTGTGCTGGCCTCTGCCCAAGGGTATCAGTGTCACGCTCCATTCACAAGAGTCATAGTCTTGCCTTTGAGACACAGCAGCTGAAGGAGGGGCATGTCCAAACACAGAGGAGAGGAGCAGAAGTGGTAATAAGTGTCTCAGAGAGGAGTCCCTGAGGTAGCTTCATGTAGGCAGTCTTAATTTTCAGAGCTTTCTACAAAATCATCCTTTTTCCTACTGTCATTCCCAAGTCTCTTCTCCTCCTATTCATTTTCAGGGACAAAATAAAGATGCGTTTATTTGTTCGTGCTGGTTTGGTTTTTTTTTAGTTGCCCCCTCCAAGACTGTACTGGAGTTAAAGCTAAGGAAGAAGAAATGTAAGTGGAAAGCTTTTTTGATACTAAGGCAGAGCTGCTTGGCCTGCCATAAGCCTCTCTCCCAGCACCTTTCTGAGTTGCCCCTAAGGAACATGGCAGATAGTTGTGTCCTTTGAAGGGACCAAAGAGGCAGTGGAGGCCGGCCTCCTCTTCTCCTGCCTTGACATTTGTACCAGAGAGCTGGGATCATTGCTGGCCATTAGAGGGAAGCCTCTGTCCCAGGTCTCACTCTTGCTCAAAGGAATGGCTTTCTTCTGTGTATACTGAGCCTATGCCACTGCTTTTTCAGGCAGCGTGGTGTCCATCAGCTGTTGGGACACCCACACAGTCCCACAAATTACAGGACTCTCTGCAAGGACGGCTCTAAAAATATCCAGCCATCATAAATTATGCTGAAATGAATTGTTTTAAAAATAAGTCTTGAAATTACTGTCCCTCTCCGTCTCCTGCTAAAAAATCTGCCAGTAAAGAAGCCACTTAGCCTTCCACATGTACCAGCACTCATGCTTCCTATGTTCAAGCCAAAACCCTGCTGCCTCATGCCAAAATGGAGCTGGATCTAGGGCATCCACACCCAAGTTTGCAGGATCCTAAAAAGACATTGTCTATTGCTTGTCAGAAGCTGGCAGCACACCGAACCACAGCCAATTATCATCCTCATAAATAACAGTAAGCCCGGCAAAGGAGCAATGTGACTGTCAAAGCACAAATGGAAGGAAAAAACATAGGCTGTATTTGACAACTGCAGATCACATTCTTCCCCGGATTAGCCACGTGCAAGACCAAGGAATAGCCAGTTTGTCCTTACACATGGAAGACAGCCAGAGCCTCTGCTAACAGATGTGCCCAAAGTTGTGCAGTGTGCATATCTCATGCTCACCATTAGTATTATCTTCAGCCTTGACAGGCACAAGGGGGCTCTGGGGAGCAGAGTCTCCACTGAGGGAATAGCTGTGCTCTGCCTGGATGCCTGGAGTGGGTGGATCCAGGTCCATGTCCAGCAGTGGGTTCTTCTCAGCCAGTACTGGGTCATCGAAGAAACTGCTGAACAGATCATTGGAGAAATCCTCCATGTTGTCAGAGAAGTGATCCAGGTTCTCTGAGAAATGCTGAGAAAAGACAAAGGGAGAGAGAGCGTTAGTGTCAACTCCAAGGGGGATCTGAGAGCCTTCCTCTGCACTGAGAGCCAAACCTTAGTGACAACACTTTTTGGATGGGAAAAAGCAGTTCCTATTCCTTGCCTGCCTCAGGTTGACAAAAACACCTTTAAGAAAGGGACGTGGTGCTGTATATCACTGCTTGTTTATCTATGCCACAAACACTACTGAAACTTCTATAATTCTCTCATCTCCCCCTTTCTCTGTGAGTACCTATCTGCATCTTCCTAGCACCTTGCTGTGACAACAAACTGAATAGAGCACAAGGCAAGAAATTCCTGTGATGACAAAGTGCAAGTGTGGCAGAAAATCATGGTCTTCAGTGCCTGTCCTTGGTGACACTTTCTCATGTTCTCTGCCAGCGGCAATAGGCACACTGATGGCCCAGAGAACACCAACCCAGCTGCTGATTTCTATCAGAGAAAAAAAAATCGGTTGAATCAACATAACAGGAAGGCCCCCTGTTGTATTTAATTTCCTCTGGGATTTAACAGCCCCTCTGTGGACCATATGAGGTTGTACTCCAGCCAGATAATGCCTGTGAAATTCGGCTCCCCGATGAAGTTTAAACACTACAGATGGGCTGTTAACAACAAACAATCATTCCACTAATCATTCCAGTAACAGTTAGTAAATCTGGCCAGTTCTGCTGCAGAGCTGGGCTCCTGATACTACAGTGAACCTGCTTCCTTTGAGGCACATCCTCCTTTTCAGAAGTCAAATCACTAACTTTTCCATTTGCTACAACAAAGTATGGGTTGGGCAGGGAGAAAAATGATGGCTGCCAAACACCAGCTGAAAAATTATCCCATTTGTTGGCAGATTGAGGCTTCTGGCTCAGGGAGAGGAAAGAAAAGACAGATAGATTCAAGTGACTGTATTACACAGACGGAACTGTGTAACTTAAATGAACTGGAGAGAGCTCAGCAGAGTCGGACTGGGTCTGTCCCCCCACCCCCTGCCTGGAAAAGCATCTGGGTGGGCAGAAAAGCATTGAAAGCAGTATATTGAAATACCAAGAGCAACAGGGTATGGATGAGAGTGGGAGAGAGCATACAGATCCTAGAGTGGAGACATGAATGCCAGTGAATTCCAGTGTGAGAGCTGAGCTCAGGAAGGAGCCTGGCTCCTAGAGAAGCATGGGATGCATTCAGTCCTTTCTTTCATCAGTGTCAGGACTGAGGGAGGCGGTGGCCAGAGGACCCCGGATGCCGGAGCCTGTAGGTTCCTGCTCCTACAGGAACGTGTATTTGTTTTACCAGAGCACAGTAGCTCTGTCAACATTCCACTGGCTGTCAGAGGGCTGGGGAGTGAAGTAGGCTTTAGCTGAACAGACCCATGCTTCCAGCAAGTGGGGAGGGAGATGGTGAGCTGCAGCAATCTTGAACATGCTTTTACCCTCTAACATCATCCCTCACCTGCTCGATTTAAAACCTCAGATGCTCACAGAGCATGCTGGAAGTGGGGGTGGAGTCCCTCCCACGAGCATTCTGCCTGACACGAGGTTTCTCTCCCTTTGCTTCCTTCCCACTTGTCCTCTGACTGCCTGGAGTGACAGCCCAACACACCACCATCCGAGGCTTCCCTGAAGGGCAGACACTGCACATGAAAGTAAGGCAGAAAAGGCATGCTCATGCTAAATCCCAGTGTTGAGGCCCTCCCTGGATGTCTGGGCTGAAGTTTTCTCCACTTGTTCCCATAGCAGACGCGAGTTAGCGGGGTAGCTTGGTAAAATCTACCCATCCATTTCCAAGTTGCCTAGAAGCATTTCTGCACTTAAATCAAGTGACGGAAAACACCTTCCATCCGTGCAGAACATAACTTCTTCAGAGGGACCTGAGTCAGCAGATGAAACTGAGTTAGACAGTTATCTAAAAACCACTAGAAAAACAGGTTTTGTCCTATCCTACAGCATAGAGGGATAAAGACTTTGGAGTCCTGAGTATTAACCTCAGAGAGCGCCTGTTCATGTAACAGCTGTTCTTTGTCTTGTGTTCTCTAAACAACACAAGCAAATACAGGATATGAACACGGTAGCCTTACGGTAAGGGCGAGAATATAACCACAGAGAAGTGAAGGGATTCAGAGTGCTGGCACACCACAGCATAGCAGAGCCAGGATAAAACAAGAGGCATTCAAATCCTATATACTGTTGTGACCATCAAAACTAGAACCACTGTGTAGCCCTGGAGGAGAAGCAGAGCTGGATGGACAGCTGTGGGGAGAGCTATCTGCAACTCTGCCACGTGCTTCAAATTTCTTTCACGACTGTGCATTAACAAAGGCAAAGGTGGGAGTAAAGAGAGACAAGAGAATGCATTTATGCAGTAGCTCCACAGATTATCTTTTAGTGGCATCCCACCCACACTTAGAAAAACGATCTTTCTCGGTCAGTCAACAATCTTTCCATTGTAGGACAAACCTACCTGGAGGGAAGAGGCAGAGATGTGCCTCTGGCTATATTCCTAAACAAAAAAACAGGTTTGTTGGAGGACCTCACTGCTTGGAAGCAAGGATGAAGGCAACATTGTTCTCCAAGAGACATGGGAGTTAGGTCCCCAAGAGACCATTCTCTCCCAAGAGACAGAGACCTACTGCACAGGACAGGGCAAACATAGGTGATAAGCAAAGAATGAAACTTGCAGCTTCCCTGGGCATCCAGAAATGTTGGGGCACCTACCCCTCTCTGGGCTCCTGGGTCATATCCTCCATCACAATTAAATACTGGCAAAGCTTTCTCACCAAAGCAGTCCCATTTCAGTTCTCATCACTCATACATATACGAATCCAACATCTCTAAACACAGACGGTGGAGAGAAGGATGATAGCCTATGAGATTGGGAATAACTATGGTTGTTATCAAAGGGGGCACCAAGGATCCGACACCTTCGAGGAGCAAGAGCACCTATAGCTGACACAGAGCTGAAGATTGCTATTTTACTCAAAGAAGGTGGCAAGAAGCAGAGGAAAGCATAAGCAGGAAGGGTAAAGCAAACAAATATAATGACATGGCTTTGTAGCTGGCTATATCCACGATGGAAACTACAGGACCAGCAGGAAGCTGTCACCACATCCCAGGAAGACTGCTGGGTCTCTGGGTTGGCTCCATTCTCTCCTGAATCCAACAGGTATTGTTAATTTTAGATTTCTTATTAATATAAGACACCTGTGCACACAACCACGTGGTAAGAGGAAAAAGAGTCCTCTTGTCCAGATTCAACTGTGATGGGCACAGTGAAGAGCAGCCCAGAGTTTATTTTGGATAGATGCCATCAAAGCCACTGCTAATTAGCTCACCTGCTAATTGAGCCTGCTAACCCAGAACAGGCAAACTCTGTCCCACCAAGCCTCATTTTGGGAGCTGCACTTATCTGGCAAAACTCAGAGGCTTCAGCCATACTCTTCCTTTGCATGTGTGAGAAAGAAGGCTTCAGGAAACTGCACGTCCCAGGGTGTGGTGTCTCACAGCTGTGCAGATCATGGCAGAGCATGAGCTTCTGAGCGATATACAGAAGCAGGTTTATCACCTGACCAGATGGATAGCAGCTTTATCCTGGCTGGAAGGTCACATGCCAAAGAAGGTGCTGGGTGGCCACCAGTGCTCTCTTCCCATCCAGAGTGGGGCCAGCACAGCTAAAGGCCTTCATGTGCTGCCACAAAATGACACAACCATGCCAGGCTTTGGGGAGACTTTTGCTGACACAATGGCAACAATGATCTCAGCAGACCAGGGAAGGTCCAAGAAAGAGTCCCCAAAACTCAGATGTGAAGGAAGGTGGGATAGACAGACATACAGGAGCAGAGCAGGCTCATCCTCTCACAGCCTCTTCAAGACCTAAATTCTTTGAGAGTGCCTTCCAGCCAGCACCCACTCCTCGGAAGGCTGGTCAAGGCATTTGTGACAATGAAGGACTCTGCAACTCTATTGAGATCATCTCGGGTAGATTTCATGCAGATGGGCCCGGCTTTAGTAAAGAGGACCAGTCAACTGGGAAACTTGACCCTTACCATCCTAGCCCAGAGGGAGTGGGTGTGCAGTGTACTGGGGGAAAACAGCTTCCAGATGGGATACGAAGCTCACAGCATAGTCTCGTTTTGCATTATTCTCTCCTGTTATCTCCCCCTCCCTTTCACACCCTCCTTCCTTCTCCTTCTAACTATGCTCCAAAGCCAAGAAATAGCACGGGATATGTTTCCAAAGCTGTATTACCAGTGAGCGGTCAGGGAGGGGGCAGCCAAGGGACAGAAATGCAATGGCGAGGATGTGCTGGATTTCCTGATCCAAGCCTGATTTCTAGCTGCCCGTCCCCCCCGCTCAGTTCTAGGAGGATGGGGAGGCAGTGCCCAAAGAGGATTAGCCAGTGTGCACAGGTATGGAGAGGCAATGACCATCACATCTCTAGGCCCAACAGAGAGCCTTAAGCTGTTCTGGTGCCACAGGAGAATCTGCTCAAGCTGAGGCCATCTCAGCTATGGGGAGAGAGTGAGAATCTGTCAGCTGCTGGCTTCTGCTCCCTCCCACTCCGGGCGATCAACATAGGCACTGACTCTTCCAAACATATTTCCACCACATGTTTTCATCCTGACCTCATGTTTAGGGTTGTCTAAATAGCACACTGTATGTGCGTGCGTGCACTTCTCATTTGAACACCCTTTCCTGTTGTACAACAGTTATCTGGGGAGCTAATGTAAGGCATTCAGACATCCAAATGCAAGCTGTATGTTTCTCCCCACCCAGAGCTGGTGTTAGACCTCTGGAGGCCCCAAGCAGAGACTGAGGCACTAAGCCTTCTCCCCTGCCTGGGCGTGCATGGAATGCCTTAAGGTGTCACTCCTGTAGCCCAGGGGCACTCTGCATGGATGAGGAGGGGATGATTTCCTCTCCCTGGATCCAGTTCTCTGTAGTTATCCTGGCTGCCTCTGTCCCTCCTTTTCCTTTTCATGCTTCCATCCTTTGACTGTGACTTTTCCTTTCCCACCTCCAGCTGAGTTGTTTGGAGACAGCCTCTCTTCAGGATCAACCTGGCTCTCACAGCCTTTCTGGTCCCATCACAATGGTCTCACTCCAAAGAGAAAGCAGCGAGGGGCTAATCCAGCTGGGCGGCAGCCCAGGCCCAGGAGACGAAGGGCCTTTGCAGGTTGGAGGTTCTGCTCGTGCTGGCAGGCAGTGAAGATGGGGAGTGGATTCTTCTGAGTTTTCTCTTTTCTTTTTGAAAGTATTTTTCCTCTTTGCTTGCCAAGATAAATCTCCTGTCCCAGCTGTGACATCTGCATTTCCCTTCTCTGCTTTCACTAAGGAATGAAGCCCCCTGCACTCCAGCTGCAGAGCTGAGGTTTTCTTTACATTCCAGGAAAGAAGAGCCCATACACTCCAGACAGTCCTTCTGCTCTCTTTAAAATGCAGAGAATTTTAGACCTTATGAAAGTGAAGTTCTCAACAATGTTAACAAGATTCAGGCAGGATGGACAGATGCTGTGAACACTTCTCCACACACTCCAGTTGGTGCATGTGCACCCTGAGGGGCTCAAGTGATCATCCAACCACCTCTTGGCTCTCTCGGACCCCTCTGGTACCCCTCTATTCTGACCTGTATTGCTCTTGCTCTCTCCCCTCATGTACCAGTGCTCCCTGCTCCTTCATGCCTCGTCTGCCCAGATCCCTGATCTGCTTGGACAACTTGTCATTGCCCTGCTACCCCCTTGCTATTCCTGCTTCTCTGTGTGCCATGGCTGAAGCACCAAAGGCCAAACTGTCTTTGGGTGCCATTGCCATTTCCCTCCAGCAGCAGGACAGCACTTGGACCAGCAGCACCTCTCAGTCTTTCCCAGAGACTGTGGCAATGCCCAAGTCACCTGTGATTACTTTCAGCATCACAACCTTGAACTGCATGGTGGACCAAACTGAACCTGATCTAGAACCCGGCCCAGAATTTGCTGCTGTCTGTAGAATCAGAGTCACAGAATCGGTTAGGTTGGAAACGACCTCCGAGATCATTAGTCCAACCTATGACCAAACACCATCATGTGTGCACATGTAATCACCACCTCCCTGGGCAGTCCATTCCAATGTCTAATCACTCCTACTCTGAAGAAAGTCTTTCTAATGTCCAACCTAAACCTGCAGCTTAAGACTATGTCCTCTCGTTCTCTCACTAGTTGCTCGGGAGAAGAGGCCAACCCCCACCCAGCTACAACCCCTTTTCAGGTAGTTGTAGAGAGCGATAAGCTCTCCCCGGAGTCTCCTCTCGTCTCTGCAAGGCTCAGGCACAACTCGCTGTGGAAACCTCCTTCCACCGCGCATCCGTGCCAAGGTCCTGGATTTACAATTTCCAGCGCTAGGCGCCACAGGACATAGGAGGGACCGACGGCGGCTCAAGGCACAATCAGGGGAGGGCGACTGGGGGCGCGGCGCGCAGGGCCCGGGTGCCGCAGCCCCTCACGGGCCGGGCGGTCCGGCCCGGCCCCCCCGCGCGCGGGACGGCCGCCGGCGAGTAACGGTCGCCGCGGCGCGCTTCCAACGGCCCGCAGCGGCGGCCGCCCATTGGCCGGCGCCGCCGAGCGGCGGCCAATGGGAGGCGGCTGCCAGCGGCGCGCGGCGGGCGCGAGGAGTGCAGGGTTAGGACGGAGCGGCGCGGGCCGCTCCTTCTCCTGCCGGGATCCTTTGGGAGCGCCCCAGGGAACACCGTCCCGGCCCTTCTGCAGGCACCCTCCGGCACATACGGCTCCCGCGGCTTGCTGTAACCTTCCTGGCAAGCAGGAAGGTTTCCTGATTTTTCCCCCTCCTCCCCTACAACCCTGGCAAGGGGGAACAAAGCCATCAGCTGGCGGAGCGGGTGATGTTGTTAAAAGCATGTGCACAACACAGACCCCTTCGAAATTCCGAGACTGCAGCTGTGTAACAGCTCAGAGTTTACAAGCCTGCAGTTCATTGGGAAGGAACCTTGGGAGGCACCAGCTCAGGAAGAGAGGGCGAGTTAAGTATTTGACTTCAATGTTTTTGCTCCTGAAAGAATAAAAAGAAGGGAAAAAAAGGGGAAGTTGAAATCTGCTAGCCTGTGACTGGGTTTACCAGCAGCACCAGTGGATGCACTTTGAGTGCTGCTGCAGTCCCCACATCTGGCTCTAGTGTGTTCAGCATAAATAGGATTAGCAGCCGGCATTGGCAGTGGTGATGTGGGAGAGATTGGGAGTGCCTTGCAAGAAGAATGACTGAAGCAAGGCAGAACGCAGGCCGACGTGAATCAAAAGGCAAGTGGCACTGCAGTGTGGCCATAGTATCGTGGCCATCTGTGTGCCCTCCAATCACCTGCGGGTGCCACAGTGCAGGGCAGGTATGCACGTGCTAGGGCGGAGGGGGAAATGGCAGCCACCCTTTGGCAAAATCGGCTCCACTGGCCTGGAGTGGGAAGCAGCTACAGTACATAGTTTGCCTATTGCATGAGACTTGCTGAATCTGCAGAGACAGGAGCACCCCTCCTCCCAGAGCAGCAGCACCCTGGAGGATAATGAGGAATGCCTCCACTTGTCAGAGTGCTTTTACTGTCTGTATGCTACATATGCAATGAACATCCCAAATTTCCTTTGGCTTACAACTGCCTTGCAGCTGACTGATTAAAAAAAATTAGAGCAGGACTTAAACCATGCGCAGAAGCGGACACAACCCTCTTGGGATGAAACATTTATATCAGCTGCTCTTAGCCCTCATTTGGCAGAAGATTTGGGGTGTATTTCTAGGAGTCTGTGAAAGGTAAATAAAAAGTTTGTCCTTCAAGGCTTTTCTTGAACTTGGAGAACTGAAGACACTTGCTACAGAACAAAGTCGCCTTTATTTCTGAGCCATCATGGTGGCAGCTGGGCTGTGTTCAAACAGAGATGCGTAGGAGCTGTTCTCCATGGGAATGCAGGTACCCCTGGGCAAGCTGGCAGGGGTCTCTTCCTCTTCTTTGCTCCTTCCCAAACCAAGGTCAGTACAGTTTCCAGGCAGAGACTTCACAGAAGCAGTAGCTCCTGGAGAGAGAAGCTGTATTGTCATCTCTGCTCTCTTGGCCAAATTGGTGCTTTGTGTTAACATGGCAGCCTCAGTTGCATTTGCAGCGGGCTCTCAGTGACACTCTAACTCCACACCATGATGGGGGGCTTTCAGCTGCTGGAGTGCCTCGGGGAGGAAGTTCATGTGAACTTTATGTCCATATGTGTGAAAATAGAATCCATCAGTTTTGGGAAGGCCCTATCTGCTATGTTATGCCGATCCACCTTCATCCAGGTGTGCCCTTCGCAGAGCCCAAACACATCCATCCCTTCTCAATCACCACAGAGGCACAGCAGCAAGAACACAACTGGGTGTCCATAGCCATGCCTGTAGGCGTGCAGCATCCCTGCACAACCTAGGGATGCATCTCTGGCCCAGCCTTGCAAATCTAGAGGCAAATCTACCCTGGAAAAGCCTACGTGGATTTAATTGTGTGTGGCATGTCCGCCTGAGCAGTTTGCGGAACAATTCTGCTTAATGGTGAGGGATGTGTGGTGCAATGAAAGGCAGAAGACAGGGCAAATGAAAGAAAATACTGGTTTACTCTGCATGACTCTCTGTGAACAACCCTGCCATGCTGACGTGAAGCTGGGTCACAGTATCACCAAAAGACATGAAATGCAGAATGAATGTTCAATACAATTGAAAACAAATTAGAGAGGTACAACTGCTCAAGCTGAGCACCAGTCAGCGAGATGGGAGCGTTTATATTCAATAACAAAAATAAGTTAGAATAAATGCCACTCCACTATTGCCTCCATCTTTCTTGGAAGCTTCTGGTCCTGCCCAGTATGGAGTTGCCAGAGTTGGCAGATCTCTGCTCTTAGACAGCCTGTCAGCCTCATACCATTATGAGCCTTTTTTCTGCATCTTGCATGAAATCAAGAAAGGCACACTGGGAGATAACTTTGGGAGATATCTTTGGGAGATAACCACAAAAGGAGGAAAGGTCTGTATTATCTTTACAATCGTTTTCATTTGTTTAATTGAAACTGTTTCTCTTCAGTGCTCAGAGAGCAAAATCAGAGATAATTCACATTTTGTCCCCTGGCAGGTCCCTGTAGACCCATAAAGAAAAGCAGGACTTGGAAGAGGAAGATAGTTGTACTCTGTTCAAGTCCAAAAGCTGAGGCATGTAGCTAATACCAAACATTACTGGTGGCTTTCATTCCTTGGGCCTTTGTAAAGGGCAATTACAGAGCAACTAAGTATGGACTAGCTGATTTGTGACTCAAGGATGTGAGGGATTTTCACGCAAAATCTTGAGAGGGCAAGAGCTGGAACTCTCTTCAGTGGCCAGGCTGGGTTTTGCAAGCAGCAGACTGAATGGGGTCCCGCCCCAGGACAGTTTTCAAAGCAATTCAACTTGGAATGCAGATTTCTGACCTGCTGCCAACATCCCAGTGGAAAATCTGTGCCCTGAGCAATAGATAGGAAATTAAACTTCAGCTTCAATGCTGAGGGTATCATTTTCACCATAGCAGTGGAGCTGCAGAAACCAGAGTCTCTGGAGAATGGGGAAACCCTTCCTAGCCCACAAAGGGCAGTAGCACCTCTAAGACCATTCGTCACTACTGGGGCATCCTGGATTAACACCATCCTGGGGTAGATGTTGGTGTGATGTTGGTGAACCAGGGGGTCAAAGCCCTTTATTTCCAAAGATGAGGATGGATATCTGACTGGTCAGAGATCAGGCAGTCACTTCAACCATGGGATGAAAATCACTGCTGAAGGAGAAAGGAAGTCTGTGAAAACCCTTTCACAACACCTGGCTCTTGAGCTACGCCCTCTTCAAGCTGGACTTCTTCATGACGAGGCCCAGCAGCCAAGTGCCCTGTAGCTGTTCAGAAGAAGTAGAAATGTGGAGATGCATGGTATCATGCACTCAAGCTTCTGAGAAGAAAAGATCCCAAGTTCCTTTGAAGACAGGAAACCTATTATGCCCTGAATTCCTGCCGTGAAAGTTCCTGTGTCTGAGATCAAGCAGACATCTGCATCCCAGCATTGGAGTGGTGTCTGCAGAAGCTGGTGGTTTTATGAATCCATTTTCTGGATGTCCCTGGAGCAGAACAAGGAGATGATGCACAGTTTCATGGGTTTTAGGGCCTAGAGGAACTAGTCTGGTAATCAAATATGGTTCCTTACAGAACTGAGTGCAGGAGCTGCATACATGTCTCCTGCTTCAAACTCATCACGTGCAACTGATCTCAGTTTAATGCCTCCAGATAAATCCGCTCCTTAAAAAAAACACAACCAAATCAACTAGAAGCTAAATACAGTCACCAAACATATGAGTCATTGCAAAGAGGAACTCTCTAGCTTAAGTGTCCAAAGTGTTTTCTCAGGCTTTTTGCTCTTAGATAAAAAAGTCCTTACTACCAGAGATCTTCGTGAGAACAAATCCAACTCAGCTTTTAATTTGTGGAGTGTGGTATGGCATGGCCACCCTGCCAGGTTATTCTACAGACAGCAGAAACAGCGTTGGTCGTATTGCAGGCAGGGAAAACTTGAGGGCTTATTTAATGATGGCAAGTGGTGGTCACGTAACTCCACGTTAGCAGCAGATTCAAAGATTAAATTATCTTTCTGTGTAGTTAATTGCTAGATTTTAACATGATCAATTCACAGGGGGAAGTGAGTGATTCCTGTGGCAAAAGAAGTTACAGCCCTGCCGTGGTAGTCAGTCCAAAGTGCGAGCCTTAGAAAATCAAGATAAAATCTACAGTGGTTTGGCCTTATTTTGTAGGTATATAATCCAGGACCAGAAGCAACAATAACCATCCATCATGTGGATAACATAACAGTGTCCATCATGGTTTTATGTGCAATAAAAGAGAAGAAGCATCAGTGAGAACGTCCCTTTCTGTCCCTTAACCCCAACACTAAGTGAATTTTCCCAAGTATGGTGTTTTCCATATAGACGAAACCCTTCACAAGTGCCCAGTGTGTCTCCCAGCACAGATGCAGCGAGCCCTCTGTTCCTGCCTGGATGCTTATAGCAGCAGGCATTCTCATGCCAGCCTCTTCCCTCATGCCTCTGCTTCCTGATTCTCCCCTGCTGTGCTCCTCTTTTGCTGCCTTCTTGTCTCTTCTCTCTGAAATGGTGCACACATTTGGCTTGCCTTCATTGTGTGATAAATCTCACCCTGCATCTTGGGTTCATTTTCTGAAAGTTTTGAATGGTGTCTTGGAAATGCTGTTGGACAATAGGAGCTCTTTGAACCCTGGCCAGCTGGACGGGACTCCTTG